TGTAGGCCTTTGTGGTGAGACATGACAAGCGTGGAAGGTGGCCAGGGAGGATGGGGAGCCCGGCCACGTGATCCTGAGCCAGTTCTGTCCGACCGTGTGTCTGTGTGGTCAGGAAGGGGTACAGCGAAGCCTGTCACCTCTCCAGTCCTTCTGGTAGCCGGGAGGCCTGGTCTCTGGTAGCTTGTGCCAGCAGCCATCGTCTCCATGCCCGTGCTTCCTTCTGTCCCATCACCAGCAGTCCCGGGTCCTCCCTCTGGGGCATCCTTCCCCTGCTGGTGAGGGGAGGCTGAGCACCTCTCCCTGCTCCGCCTTCCCATGCCAGGCCAGTGCTCTCCCGGCCAGTGCTCTTCCGGAACCAGTGCAGGGCAGGGAGTGGAGGGGTGAGGCGAGAGGCACCTCCCATTTCACTCTTTGCCGCCTGGTGGGCTGGGATGGGGGAACCTGAGGCCTGGGACAGACGGGCCCCGGCGGCCCTCATTCTACAGCAGTTCCTGCAGACTGGGCGTGGCTCCCGAAGCCGAGGCCGGGGTGCAGCATGGAGCAGCATGAGCCTCCGCTGGAGCTTACGTCCTCGCGCCTCCGCAGCGGTGAGCGGGCGAGAGGCGCTGGGACACGGAGCCCGGCCGCGGAGGGGAGCCCGGTGGTGGCCGGGGGAGACGAGCCAGCCGAGGCACGAGGCTGGTTCAGGCTGGGTGATCAACGACACCTGACAGAGACCTGAAGACGCCAGGCGACCTTGAGCCAGACGGGTGAGATCCCCACCCAAGGGCCTGGGAGCGGGGATTGGAGGTTCGGCACCGATCCTCACGGGGCAGCGGGAGCACGTTGTCAGGACAGTTAGCCCGTGTGGAGCACTGGGCACGTGCGCAGGACGTGACACAAATGCTGTCCTTCTCACCACGTCATCCAGGGCGCAGTGGGGAGCCGAGGCCCAGGGGGGCTCCAGGCTGGAGTGAGATCGCACAGCCTGCACGCGAGGGCGCCCGGAGGAAGGGGGCCGGAAGCCACACTGCCGGGGTTCAAATCCAGGCTCTGCCCTTGCTCTGCGACTCTGGGCAAGTTTCTTAACCTCTCCGAACCTGTTTCCTCATTTGTAAAAGGGGGGTAATGGCAGTCCTCACCTGATGCATTGTCGTGGGGAATAAATGAGGTGATGTGTGTAGCCCACGGAACGTAGTGCTGTCGACTGAATGGTTTGTGTCCTCAGGGGGAGTGTTTTGTACATGTTTGGTCCTGGCATGGAGCTCCTAAATCTCTTGGAATTTCTTGGGTCATAGCGGTGTCTTTTGTTCTGATGAGGTGGGCCCCTGGAGGGCTGGTCACCAGAAACACCAAGCCCTGATTAGAAGCTTGGGATTTTCAGCCCTCCCACGCACCCCTTCCCTTCTCTAGTGAGGGGAGAGGGGCTGGAAATGGAGTTAATGACTGGCCATGCGTGGGGGCGGGGGAGGGGGCAGCTCCACGGGGACAGAAGCTCCTGCACTGGGAACCTCCCAGACCTTGCCCCATGCACCTCCTCCCCCAGCCGTGCATCTGCGTCCTGTCAGGTTCTTCATAAGAAACCAGGGACCTAGGGAGTAAGAGGTGTCTGAATTCTGTGAGCCCCTCTAACAAATTAGACCCAAGGATGAGGACTGAGAACCTATGAGACACAGCCACTCAGGACGGGTGACAGTCTGGTGTTGGGAATGGCCTCTGAAACTGCACGGGGGAGCCCCCACCCGTGGGATCGGACGCTACCTCCAGGCAGACAGTTGAGCTGACTTGTAGGACACCCAGCTGGTGTCAGAATTGCTCGGGGTAGGGGAGCCCCCACACATCTGGTGCCCAGGAGAAGTGGGGTGTTTTCCTACTCATACTTAATACATACATTTATACTTAAATACCAATACAACATCAAACATTATACATATAACATACATATATAATGTATACATTGTATTATACAATAATTACTATAATTGTTATATACATTATATATTTTATGTAATATATGTACAATATATGTAAAATAAGATAATTTTGGATATATATTTAAGATATATACAATGTTAGGGGTGCCTGGGTGGCTCAGTGGATTAAGCCTCTGCCTTTGGCTCGGGTCATGATCTCTGGGTCCTGGGATCGATCCACCTCAGGTTCCCTGTTCAGAGGGGAGCCTGCTTCCCTCTCTCTCTGCCTGCTTCTCCACCTACTTGTGATCTCTGTCTGTCAAATAAATAAATAAAATCTTTAAAGAAAAAAAAGATATATACAATGTTAAAAATAGAGCTACCCTAAGACCCAGCAATTGCGCTACCAGGGATTTACCCCAAAGATACAAATGCAGTGATTCGAAGGGGCACATGCACCCGAATGTTCATAGCAGTGATGTCCACAACAGCCAAACTGTGGAAGGAGCTGAGATGCCCTTCAACAGACGAATGGATAAAGGTGTGGTCCATATACACAATGGAATATTCCTCAGCCATCAGAAAGGATGGACACTCTCCATTTGCATCAGCATGGATGGGACTGGAGGGGATTATGCTGAGTGAAGTAAGTCAAGCAGAGAAGGTCAATGATCATATGGTTTCACTCATATGTGAAGCATAAGAAACAGGGCAGAGGATCATAGGGAAGGGAGGGGGAAAACCAAATGTGAAATCATCAGAGAGGGAGATGAACGATGAGAGACTCTAAACTGGGAAACAAACTAAGGGTTGCTGGAGGGGAGGGGGTTGGGGATGGGGAAACTGGGGGATGGGCCTTAAGGAGGCACGCGTTGTGATGAGCACTGGGTGTTAAATGCAACTGACGAATTATTGAACTCTACATCTGAAACTAATGATGTACTTACATGTTGGCTAATTGAATTTAAATTAAAAAACGAAAAAGACACAATGAGCTAATGATAGTATATGACATAAAATGCATGATATATGTAATAAAATATACACATATAATAAGATAAGACTTGCTTTTCTGGAGAACCCTGAATGACACAAGGGCCTGCCTTAAACATTGCCTTCCTGATTTCCCTGTTTGAAATTGTAGCTCCATCCCCTGCTTTGTGACCCTGACCCAGACTACAGCCTGCCTTAGTACTGATTTTACTTCTTCGTCATCTGTCTTCTTCACTGGAATGAGGGCAGAACTGTGGTCGGTTTTGCTCACTGTTGTTTCCCCAGGACTTGAAACAGGGCCTGGCAAACAGTAGGCACTCGCTAAATGCTGAATGAACAAGTCGAGGGTAGCATCAATAAATGCAGGCGAGTCTTCCCAAGCGCCAGTCCGTTCCGCTCCAGACGTAACGCAGTTCCTAGAAACCTGGATGCGGCCTGTGTCCCGTTGTCCCCCAGGAAGGAACAGGGGAGGCAGGGTGAGCGTGTCTGGATCATCTCAGTGGACTGCGGGGCCCGTGGGGGCGGCCACAGTTGTCTGGTACCTGCCCGGGCGCTGAGGGCAGGCCAACAGAGGCTGGCGCGTGAGTGAGAGCCTGTAGAGAAGGTTCTCGGGCATGAGCACTCTGGATAGGCTGGTCGGCTTTTGAAAAGCTACTTACAGACGAGTTGTTCCCTAGCTTGTTCCTAGAGCTCTGGGAGGGGCAGTCTCTCTGGCGCCAGCAAGGCCCCGAGAGGGCAAAGTGGCAGAAAATGAAAGGTGTGGTGGCTCCGTCATCGCCCTAGCCAGAGCCAGTCTCCCCCTCTCAGCCTCAGCAGGGGTGGCCGGACAAGGCTTCCCGCGGGCCTCTGGCCAAGTGCGGCCCTCCGATGTCCAGCCAGAGGGACGTAGCCCTTCTGCTCTACCTGCATAGACACTGCCCTACTGCTGGGGACCTCACCAGAACCTCAGGGACCCCACACGCCTGCCCTAGAATATGAGGAAGGGGTCTCCGGGGTCAGCCAGCTCCCCTCACAGCCCCAGTTCCTGGGCTGGGAGTGGTCAGACTGGGGGCCTCAGAGACTGGGGAGAAGGAGGCTGGTCCTGCCGAAGCCCAGAGCGGCGGTGGCGAGGAATCTCTTGGAATCTTTGGAATTACAGAACAATCCTTTGTCACGTCACAGACTAATCACTGCACCCACACAACCCCGCTGCGAAGCCCAACACGCTGGTGGAATTCCCGTGAACTTGTGAAGTGCTCTGAGTGAAGTAGGAGTGTTATCCGGTACAAACCTCACCCACAACCTGAATAGTTTCGTATTTTATTACTGATAATCACTGTGCTCTACTTTGTCCATAATAGTAGTATTAAGTATAAATAATACAAATAATATGATATAGTTATGCTCTATTATCAATAATAAAGTATTTATTAAGAAATAACTGGTATCTGGCATACTACTAATTATCCCACTTTTCCAGTGTGGCAACGGAGGCTTGGGGGACCAATACTGTGCTTGAGATCAGGGAGCAGAAAAGACAGACTTTTCATGTGCAGTGTCGCTGTTTTCTAAATGGTGCCCAGTTTCCATATTTATTTAAGAAATGCTCTTCGGGCCAGAGCTGGACAGGCCACACCAACTACGTGGCAGGGTAAGAACTGCCCTGGGCCTGTAGCCTGTGCGGTGTGGTTGGGAGCGTGATCAGGGCAGCTGCGGGGTCCGTGGACCCCGGGTTCTCTGCTGGTCCCCACACTTACTGGGTGCTGAGTGCTGAGCTCCCCTGGTGTCTCCTTGTCTGTCAGACAGGGCTGGCGCCTGATCTCCCATCTGGCCGGAGGTGATGGGTGAGGTCACGGACCTGGGTCAGCAGGCACTGAACACGGCAAGCAACCCCAAAGGCCCGGGACATTATTCCTTGCAGCCAGTTAGGAGGAGGAAGGACTCCATGGGGGCTCCCTCCACCATCTCGCACCTCCGCTCTTGGAGATACCCTGGGGGTGGGGATCCAGAGCACAGGTAGGGGAAGGGCAAGTGGCAACGGCTCAGCCATTTCTGAACACATCCCTGTCTCACTTTCTACAGGTGAGGGGTGGCCCATGTCCCCCACCCCGGGTGCCAGTGGGAAAGGCAGTCTCTGACTCCCCAGACCAACTCCACACGGTGATGCAAAGGTTGCTGGCCCTCCGTGCCACCCGCACAAAGCACAGGTGGGTTGTAGACATCCGCTACGGCTATAAAAGGTCAAGCCTCTAGCCATTTGAGGGTGTCATAGATTGAATATGTTCCCCCAGATTTATATGTTGAAATCGCAATGCCCAGTAACTTCAAAATGTGACTGTATTTGGAGATGGGGCTTTAAAGGGATCATTGTGGATAAATGAGGTCGCATGTGTGGGCCCCCGTCCTATGGCTGGTGTCCTTATGAGGAGAGAGACATGCCAGGGGCTCACACAGGGCTGCCATGTGCAAGCCTAGGGGAGAAGCCGCAGGAGAAACCAACCCTGCGACACCTCGAGCTTAGAATTCAGCCTCCGGGACCATGGGAAGACAGATTTCTGTGGTGCTTTGCCATGGTGGCGGGAGCAAACCAATGCAGTGAATTGGGGGGGGGGGCTACAAAAAGCTCCCCCTGGGCCAACGCCCCTCGCCTGAGACGCCCCAAGACACCCAGATCCTGCCGCAGCCACGCAGCCACCCAACAGGGAATCACGTTTGTTCTTTTCTGGATTAAGTGCCAGGTACGGAAAGCTGCTGGGATTCCGGACCAAGGGCAGTGGCTGGTCTGGCCCAGAGGGAGGCCTAGAGATGACAGAACGGAGCCATCCCATCTCAGAATCCCACCACCTGATGCGGAGCAGCCCACCCAGAGAGGACCAGGGAAGGAGACCCGGTGACCAAGCGGGGACCTTACCTTGCACAGTGAAACAGAGCCCAGAGTTCCCGCAGATAACTCTTGGTTGATGGCCAGGGGCTGGTGAACTTTCTGTGAAGGCCCAGATGGGAAATATTTTACCCTCTGTGGGTCATAGGAGCTCTCTCACACTCCTTTCATTGGATTTTACGACTCTTCCAAAGGTAAAACCCATTCTTGCTTTGCCGGCCCCGCAAGAGCATGTCTGGCTCTGTGGGTTGTGGTTTCTCAGCCCCTGGTCTGCTCTGCTCCCCGGGACTGGCAAATTTAAGACAGTGACAGCAGAGCATGACCCCGATGTGCACCCTGTGTGGGGGCTCAGGTTGAACACCCACGAAGCAGGCCCTGCTGTCATCTTTACTGGAGTCTCAGGAAGGTGGCACCAGCCTCACAGGCATCTCTTGAGGTCCCTGAGTCTTAAGTTTCCGCATTATGGCTAAAACTTGGGCCACTAGGCCGGTCACTGGAGGCTCCGTTGTTGATTTTCTGGGAGGAGGGCCTGCTCCCTGAGCTGGGCCGGCGTGGGGCCCCCTCCCGGCCACGCGGGGCTCCTGGTGGCAGGTGAGACTCCCCAAGTGCCTGAAGGCCTTCCGCGTGGCCGGCTCTCGCAGGGCTCTCCCCGGTGTGGAATCCCTGGTGCCCGGTCAGCGTGGGCCGGTGGCTGAAGGCCTTGCTGCACTGCGCGCACTGACAGGGCTTCTTGCCAGTGTGGACCCTGCCGTGCTGGACCGGGGTGGACTTGCCGCACACGCCGCACTGCGAGGGCCGCTCATCGCTGTGGATGGCCGGGTGCTGGAACAGGAACGACACCTTCCGGGAGCTGCACCCGCACTGGCCCAGCGGTGCGGCTTCTCGCCGGCGTGGCTCTGCAGGTGGTAGAGAGAGGCGCCTTCTGGCTGAAGGCCTTGCCCGGGAAGGACCGCTCCCCGATGTGTGTGCGCTGCTGGACGGCCAGGTAGGCCTCTGGCTGTAGGACCTGCCGCAGGCACTGCACTGGGCCGGCCTGTCGCCGGGGTGGCTGCGCGGATGCCCGGCGAGCTGCACGTTCTGGCTGAAGGCCTTGCCGCGTGGGCGCAGCGCGAGGGCCTGTCGCCGGGCTGGAGCCTCTTGTGCAGCATGAGCGCGGACGACCTGGTGAAGCGCGCCCCGCACCGCCGGCACGGGTTCGGCTTCTCGTCCCTGCACCTCTGCTGCTCCGCTAGCGTCGGGCTCTGCGCCAGCGCCTTGGCGCTCTCGGGGGCACCCACAGGCCGCTCACCCGTGTGCGTGCGGTGATGGCGGGCCAGGCCGGACTTCTCGCGGAAGGCCTTCCCGCGCACCCGGTATGTGTGGGGCCGGCGCCCGCGGGGGCCCGCGGGTGCCCGAGCAGGGACGAGCGTTTGCTGAAGCACGTGCCGCACACGTGGCACGCGAACGGCTTCTCCACGGTGTGGAGGCGCTGGTGGTCCACCAGCTTGGTGACGAGCGTGAAGGCCTTGCCACGGTCGCCGCACGGGTAGGGCCGCTCGCCCGTGTGCGTGCGCTGGTGCCCGACCAGCTGCATGTTCTGCACGAAGGCGCGGCGGTAGGGCGGCTCGCGGGTGTGTGCGCGCCGGTTCGCGGCCAGCGTGGTGTCTGGTGGAAGTGTCGCCCGCACTCGCTGCACACGAAGGGCTTGTTCAGGGGGTGCGCCAGCTGGGCCCACTGTGCAAAGGCCTCCCCGCACTCCCCGCACAGGCAGGGCTCCTGACCACCGTTGGGGGCTCCCCGGGCACCCTCGTGGTCGGGCTTCCGCGGCTTACAGCGGTGGGGGCCCCTGCCTTCTGGGACTCCTAGCTGGGCGTAGCTGGGCTGATGCTCTCCTGGGGCCCTTCCTGGAGGCCCCTCGGCCTCTCCCGGTGCCAGAGTGCCAGAGGCGGCTCCCTCCCAGCTCTTCCAGGGCCAGCCCAGAGGATGCTCTGGGGGAAATGGCTTCCTCTGGGCCGTCCCTGTCAGGCCTGGATTCCAAATCTGAAGGAGCCCCAACACACGCACGTCACCTGCGTGGCCTTCTCCCAGGGCTAGAAGAGCCAAGAGAAACCCCCTCAAGCACTTGCTGAGGGTTCTAGGATAAGGCCTGATGGCTGGCGCAGGGGACTGATGTTTGTGCCCCCCCATTCAGATGTTGAAATCCTAAACCCCAGGTGATAATGTTAGCAGGGGGGGCTTTGAGAAGGTGAGTAGGTTAGGAGGGCTGAGTGCCCTCCCAGAAGGGTCCCCAGAGAGTTCCCTCCCACCTGCCTCCCTGTGAGGACACAATGAGAAGTCATTGGTGGTGAACCAGAAAGAGGGACCTTTCCACAATGGTTGTTCTTACCTAGTGAGCGCAGGTTCTGGAAAATCTCTAGCATCACATCTCTGTACAGGTCCCTCTAAGCTGGCTCCAGCTGCTGCCACTCCTGGGTGAAGGTCACCAATTCCTGCAACCACAAAGTCATCTGGTCCACCCAGGCCTGTGGGGGAGGTGGGACAGGGAGCTGGCTTCAGTGGGTCATCCCTGGGAGGACCCCCTACACACCAGCACAGCGCAGGGGGAACATAGTAGGTACTCAAGAAACATCAGGTGAGATTATGATGCCCATTATTGTAACAGGGCTGGAGTTTGAGGCCAAGTCCCTGGGTTTGTTGATTCTTTATGAGGACACACAGGACTCCGAGTCATACTTGTGGCTGCCCTGCCCCAGGTGCTAGGGAGATGGGCTGTGGAGGGGACTCAGGCAGGCAGGGCCTCAGTCGACTCTGTCCCCCCGCGAGAAGGAGGGCGAGGGCACAACACGACTTACCAGGGCCTCGTTGGCCAGCAGCTGGGTGGCCATCCCTTCACTGCCCAAAGTGACGGGGGCCTGGTGGCTGAGTCTGGGGGCTGATGGGGTGAGGTGGAGGGAGAGAAAGAGAGGGAGGACAGTGAGGAACCAGGCCCAGCGCTGCTCTATACACACATGCACACACCCTGCCCCCCTTTTCTCATGGGGGGATGAGAAACATTTCTCAGGGGATGCTCAGAGAAACACACAGACACATGGCAAGCACAGCGCAGGGGCTCACACCCACCAGACCCCCGCAGTGTGGCGGAAGTGGGCAGTGGAGACATGCCTCCAGGCAGGCTCGGACCCAGGCCCGCTCTCCCTATGCACCCCCACCACCCCTGACCCGGCTCCTGGGGCACTTTCCTCCGGTGTTGGTGTCTAATGATACACAAGTACCGCAGTACAAAACATGGTATATCGTGGTACAAACTAGAGACTGTATCTACGTGTAAAACGTGTACTCGATACGCACAGCACTAGATACTAGACATGCAGGCCTATACACACCCACTGTCTCTCTCTCTACACCGCGTTTACTAGTATAGAAGGTACACACATGCTCTAAAGACCAGAGTAAATGCCACAGATACGCATACAAAACATATATATGAATGGGTACACATGGCCTGTATGTGAGGGGTGTAGAGAAGTACTGAATGTCACATGTACAGTACACGTGGTCAGTCACACACTAGACCACATCTACCTGTGTATGTGTGACCGTTTTCTCTGAGGCCTGTGATGGCATGGAATCCCACACACTGAACACTGTATACGCGCGGGTGAGATACGTGTAAACGATGACACGTGTCATTGTTCTGAATACCGTGCGCACCACATGCGTACGTGTGCGTGTGAGCAGTCGACACACAGTACCCCAGGAACAGGCACAGAAGGTGGACAAACACTACTGTACGTACTCACAAACAAGGTGTATATATGTGCATACACTGAATACCGTACATACGGTTATGTAAGGTGTATATGTACGCACACATGAAATACCGTAATTGCACTAATATACACGTGTATGCCTCTAGATTCTGTATTTCAATGACTCCAACGTACCATACACTGAAAGAAGGCATGCTTTTATCTAAGGGGGAAAAATCTGCCAATTAAACCGAATTGCTCTCCTTCTGCTCACACTGAAACGACTCAGAACACAGCTCTACAGCTGTCTGGCTTCCCCACTGCATGGCCTGGCACACCCCATGTTGGAGACCACGGTCCTGACACAGCTCAGCCCCCGGGGCCAGGCTGCCCTGCCTGCCGCTCCCTAGCGGTGTGCCTGGGCAGGTCACTTAGACTGTTTCCTCATCTGGAAGGTGAGGGACCTAAGACCCCTGCTTTGTAGGGTTGTTGTGAAGTGGTACCTGCACAGGGCTTAAGTGTGGTTATTGCATTAACTCCCCCACCCTTGTAGGGGCGAGGGGGCTTTTCATTTTGTGCCTCAGTTTCCACATGTGCAAATGGGGGGAAATCCTAGTGCGAAGGGCACAGGGCTCCTGTAGGGTTCAAGGAGATGACAGGGTGTCTCTCCGGTTTCCGCAGGCGTCCGCGGCAGCATTGCCGGGAGTTCCAGAAGCCCCCGGGGCCCGCCCCCGCGAGTTCGAGCCGGTCTTCCCGGGCGGGCCCCGGGGGGTCTGCACCTACGACAGCCCCGCGTGTCACAGGGCTGGAGTTTGAGGCCAGGTCCCTGGGTTTGTTGATTCTTTATGAGGACACACAGGACTCCGAGTCATACTTGTGGCTGCCCTGCCCCAGGTGCTAGGGAGACGGGCCCCGTGGAGGGGACTCAGGCGGGTAGGGGCTCAGTCGACCCTGTCCACCCGACGCGGGCGCCGTGGGAGAGCGGCCCACGGTCCGTGAGGCGCTGACTCAGGCACGCAGCTAGGGGATGCTCCGAAACTGCTGGTGGCAGCGCTGCCGCTACTATTACCTAAACAACAGCGACGAGAGCAGCTCCGACGGATGGAGCTCTGCGTGCCACCCCCGCACAGGTGCTGTCCACACCCGCTGTCCGGGCGGGGAAACCGAGGCACGGAGGGGCGGGGCTCACAGCCCCTTCCGGGCCCCTCCCGCGATCCCGGGTGCGTGATCTTCCCCACGACGACAACCTGGCGGGCGAGTGAATCCGGCGGGCGGCGCGGACCCACCCCGCCACGGGTCCGGGTGAGCACACGGTCTGCGCCTGCGCGCCTGGCCGCTCCCGCCCCGCCCCTGCGCCGCGCGGGACCCCGCCCCCCTCCGCGCTCCCGGACGCCTCCGCGTGGGAGGAGACCGAGGCGAGGAGGAGGGAGGAGATGGGGATGGGAGTGGGGGAGGAGCTTGGAGGGAGCGGAGGGGAGAAATGGAGGGAAGGCTTGGAGGAAGGAGGGTGGAAGGGAGGAGGATAAGGAGGGAAAAACGGGAGGGGCTTGGAGGAGGGAGGGGGAAGGCAAGAGGGAAGAGGACTGGGAGGGTAGGCGAGGAAGGGCTTGGATGCGGGAGTGGGGAGAAATGGGGGTGGGGAAGAGCTTGGAGGGAGGAGGAGAGGGGAGGGGCTCAGAGAGGGGAGGAGGGAGGAGGAAAGGCTGCGGAGGCAGGCAGGGGCTTGGGTGGAGAAGTGGGGAGTAGAGGGGAAGGGCTTGGGAGGAGGAGGGAGGGGTAAAGGGAGGGGCAAGCGGGAGGAAGTGGGAGGAGAGGACTGGGAGGGAAGAGGGGAAGAGGCGTGGAGGGGCCGTGGGAAAGGGGGCTGTGGAAGCTAGGGGAGAGGTGGGGGGCGGGGAAGCGGGGTGGGGGGAAGAGGGTAAGAGGAGGGTGGGGAAAGAAGAGGGGAAGGAAGGGGAGCAGCCTCCGCAGTACGGAAAAGAACGAGGGGGTGATGCGTTCGAACCGGGTGGGAGCAGCCTCTCTGGCCCCTGGTGCTCCTGCGCTCCGACCCCGACCTGTGTGGTTGCACCTCTGAGCCTCGGTTTTCTCACCTGCCGGGAGACTGCGAGGGAGACCTGCTGTAGGGTTGCTCTGTGGGTTGCACGCGTTCGTTCCCGCGGCGTTCCCGGAGGGCGCCCCGCAGAGGACCCCCTCCAGCGGCGCTGGCCGGCGGACCCTCGCGCGCCCGCGGAAAGGTTCTGCATCCGCCCCGCGGCCGCAGGTGGCTTTGAGCTCTTGAAATGTGGCCAGTGCGGCCGCGGCGCTGAATTTGCGGCTGTGCCGTGTTTTAATTAACTTACAGTGTCCTGGCTCTGCGTGGCTACCGGCTCCGCTTTCAACGGGCAGCCCTAAGGTCTAGGTCTCTTCACTGTATGGGCCGAGCTTCTCTTGCACTTGTACCAGTGGGGGGGCCTCCTTCACACCCCGCAGCGCAAGACGGACGACAGCAGTTCGCGCTCCCTGGAGCCCTTGGTGTGGACTAACCCACTGGTGCCTCACCACGTGTGTCTCGGGGTGCCTCTTGCGGTGTGTCCGGATGACTTTATTACTACTACCGCTTACTGAGAGCGTACTGTGTCCGGCCCCCGGAGAGACTCCGGACACCCCTGTAATGTTTAACTGCAGGAGGAGGAGGCTTAGGTGTAATGAATTTGGGAAAGGCCAGAGGGCAGGGTCAGCAAGAAGGGGATGGCATGCGGTTGTGTTTTTGTCTCTACTTGGATCTAAGCTAGAAAATCCTGGAACTCACGGAGAACGGATGGGCAGAGCGCAGGTCACCTGCCCCGGAGGCTCCGCCTACCGCCCAAGGGGCGCCTCCCACCCCACCCCACCCCACCGTCCCACACTACCTCTTCTTAGGAACTGGGGCTGGGTTTTTTTTCTTTTCTTTTGTTTTCCATTGCTCCTTTCTCTTTTCTGCCCCCCGCCTGCCTTTCCATTTTCCTTTAAATTTTTTCTCATTTTGGATATTAAAAACGGCACATCTTTTTTTTTTTTCTTTCTTTCTTTTTTTTTTTTTTTCAGCACCTGCTGTGAAGAGTCTGTTTTCCCCGTCCTTGAATCTGCGCTGTCTGGGTAGCTTGCTTTGATCAACAGAATGTGGGAGAAATGATGCCTTAGGATTTTGTAAGTTAGATCTTTTGATCATGTGTTCGCTCCCCCACACCACCAAGCAGGTCTCTGACACTGGCTGGGGGTTGGAGGCCCTGTCCACCTAGAGGAGGTGTCCATTTGAAATAGCTAACCGGCACCTTCCAAAGTGATTTCTCTGTTGGCTCTCCCACCGCTGATGTCTCAGAACGCCTCTCTTAATTACTGCCGCCCCCCCCCATCGTGGGCAGCAGCCGGCTGTGAGCTCCTGAATTTTGAGATCTTAACTAACATTGGAGAAGGTCAAAGTGTGTGTGTGTGGGGGGGGTGAAGACTGCTCATTGTCCCCCAGTATCTCGCCTCGACAGTGCTAGAACCCCTAAGTTTGAGCGGCATTTCCCAAGCTCCCTTGCAGCTAGGTGTGGCCTTGCAACTAGGTTCTGTCCCTGGAACGTCTGGTGGCCCTGGGTGAGGGCTGTCAGGCAGTGAGTGTACTGCTGCATTCAGACTCTTGCCTTGCCACTCCCTCATTAAGGAACTTTGGGAAAGTGACTTAAATTCTCTACAGCTTAGTTTTTTCATCTGTACGGTGGGGAGAAGGGATAGCATCTACCTTACACGGTTGTGGTGAAGGACAAACAGAGCCTAGCGGTGGAGCATTTAGAGCAGTTCTTGGCAAGTAGGCTCTCCTCCGTGTGGTCATTATCATTGTAAAACTTTTACTATCACCTCCTAAGGTTGATGTAAAGGTTTTTTTTTGTTAAGATTTTATTTATTTATTTGTCAGAGAGAGCAAGCACAGGCAGACAGAGTGGCAGGCAGAGGCAGAGGGAGAAGCAGGCTCTCTGCTGAGCAGGGAGCCCGATGTGGGACTCGATCCCAGGATGCTGGGATCATGACCTGAGCGGAAGGCAGCCGCTTAACCAACTGAGCCACCTAGGCATCCCGATTGATGTGAAGTTCAAGGGCAATCCTGCTCCATGCGTGTTAGCAGAACAAGTCTCCCTACTGTCTATTGGTCCCCCAAGACCAGGGAGAGATACTGGGAGTACCCTCACTCACCACCACCACCCCCCAGCATGGCCACTCCCAGGGTGAGAGTGGATTTTCCATTTCCTTCATCATGGATACTCATCCGCCCTGTAAATATTTCCCAAAGCTTCAACATTCATAGGAGGAATCTTTCTTTTGCCCAAGTTTCTTTAAAGCCTGCCTATGTGGATGTGGTGTTTATTATAGGTGATCACCTGCTTCCCAGAGAGGGTGAGAGGTGGGAGAGAAGTGGAGGGAAAGGAGAGGCAGGTGTGAAGCTGGCATTTTTCCACTGTCGAATTTAATGTCGCACAGGGAGGTTGGTGTGAGCAGAGGTGTATGGAAAGGGGGAGGAGATACTTGGGTCAAGAAGGAGCCTGAGTGGTTTTTTTCTTCTTTCCCCCTTAGCGGTGGGAGAGAGGCCATCTAAGAAATAAGGTGGATGCGTAATATTGGAAAATACTTTGATTTCTTGCATCTGCTGATAAGCAGGAACCTCAAGGGACAAGAGGCTTTGGGGTGAGCAGAGAGTCATTATTTCCAGAAATATCTGAGCCCCTCCTCTGTGCCAGACCCGTTCTAGGAGCAGGGAGTCCCGCAGTGAGCAAACCAAGGCCCTCCTCTTATGAGGCCACGAGTGCTAATTTCTGAGCATGGTCGGAGGTAATGAGGGGGAGCATGAAGGGAGGCTGCTTTGGCTTTGGGGTCAGGGAGGATCTCTCTGAGATGGTGACTTAGAGCAGAGCCCTGAGGAGCAAATATACACAGTTGACAGCACGATGTCTGTACAGGTTATTAGTCTATTGAGACGCTCCTGTGAAAGCCCGTGAGGAGTTGACGGGGCGCCTGACTCAGCTGCCTTGTCCCGTCCTGCAGGTCACCGAAAGGGTGCTGGCTGTCCACAACTAAAATACTGGCTCCTACTGCTGTGCGGGTTGCTGACTTACTGGAATTCTTCAGTGGGAGAGACAGAACAAAGGTACTTACCCCATCTTACCTGAAACTGGGATCCTCATGGTTCCGTTCAAAAAGTAACAGTGAAATTAAACGAGCCACAAGGATAGTCTAGAAAATAAGTCAGCGTGCCTCCCGTGCATTGACCACTCAGATTTCTTTTTTTTTTCTTTTTAATATGTAGGGACATGACTTTATTTTATTTTATTTTATCTTAAAAAGTGGTTTTTAGGGGGCGCCTGGGTGGCTCAGTGGGTTAAGCCTCTACCTTCGGCTCAGGTCATGATCTCAGGGTCCTGGGATCGAGCCCCGCATTGGGCTCTCTGCTCAGCAGGGAGCCTGCTTCCCCGCCTCCTTCTGCCTGCTGCTCTGCCTACTTGTGATCTCTATCTGTCAAATAAATAAATAAAATCTTAAAAAAGGGGGGTTTTAAAAAATAATATTTATTTTTAGAGAGAAAGTGAGTGAGCAGGGTGGAGCGGCAGAGAGAGAGGGAGAGAGAGTCCTAAGCAGACTCTGGGCTGAGTGCAGAGCCCGACTTAAAAAGTAGTTTTAAGCCACCATACCTCTCATGTCGACATTGTGTCCCATTCTTTTTTCATTTTATCCTAGTTCTTTAAGTTTACCTACTTTTGTGCTATTTCTCATTATTCACTGAAGAGCTTATTTGATACAAAACTCAAAGGGGACAAAAGAATATATGACAGAAAAGCAGGGTGCTCTCTCTCTCTCTTCTAACACCGGGTTCTTTTCTGGCAACCACCACTTGGGAGCCTCCAAGAGATGTTGTCCATGTACATATACACCCCCCCACATCTCATCGGATCCTAACAGGGCCAGCAAAGGAGGGACTCAAATGGTAGGACTGTCTTTCCCTTGGCTGTTGGTCCACATCCGAGGGAGGGTTTCCACGGCAATCAACCATCTCTCACCGTTGGAAAGGAGAGACGGGTTGGCTGCCCAAGAATGGATCCGGGATCCTCTGGGTGAAGAGGACTGCCGTAGAGACCCAGAACAAAGACCAAACAGAGGAGACACAGCCAGCCGTGCCTCAGCCCCACTCCCCTCGGGATTGGGCAGTCCTGGGGTGAACCTGGGGAGGGGAGGCGCCTCTCCTGGTGTTGAAGAACTTCCAGAGAGAGTCTGCCCCACGGAGCAGGACAGGGACAGGCTCTAGAGCCAGTCTCTCAGGTCTGCATCCCAAGCTGCGATTTACTGGCTGCGTGAGCCAGGTGACTCGGTTTAATAGTGATCAGAAGGTGTTGGGCGTCAGGGCCGAGCAAGACTATTCCCAGCCCGTCTCTGGGAGGGGCACTCACCTTCTCCAAATCCCTTTTTAAATAATATTATTTTATTTTATTTCTGGAAAGTTAATAAGTAAACGTATTTTCTTTGTCAAAGGTCAGAACATATTGATAAAGCAAGACTTCCGGGGGCTCTCACTTCGTCAGCGCAGCCCTCTGCTCTGGAGGTGAGTAGCTGGTGGATTTGGGGCACACTGGGAGGCACTTTTCTTCCTCATGTACAGATGTGTGTGAGTGCCCAGAGAAATAGATGTAGCTTTTGTGTGCATGTCTGGGAATCATTGATTCCGAGCTTCACCTTCCCTATCCGTAGAACAAGCCTGGCTAATATTAGCCATCCCATAATAACAATGCCAAATATATATGGGTCTTTTACTATGATATATGCACTATTATGGCTGAACAGTTGTAATAATTAAATCTATGTGTCATATTTGTTTGATGCTAAGGTGCCTCCCCCTTTTTTTTACATTCTAACATCTTTGACTTAGAAATATGCCTTCATATTGTCAGTATCTTTGGATTTTAGGATTTTAACTTTTTATCTTATAAGCAATACATGTGGAAGCAAAACTGTCACACTCATGGCGTACCGTATTCAGGAAGAAAAATTAGTTTGCTCCCTGAGATTAACCAAATCTAACAGGGCCTCCCTGTCTAGTCCTGATCCCCAGATAATAAAACACTTGTTGTAAATCTGTAATCCGTGGTAAAAACAAACAAACAAACAACAAAAAAACAAAAAAACAAACAAAAAAAAAACCCCAGTAACACCTGAGTTTTGCCTTGCTGAGACTTGATCTGTCTCCTGGCTTTGATCCTCATTTAACAAAACTATGGGTTTTTCATCATGAATGAATACGTGTAACCTCGAGAAACTTGCTAATCTTGTGAGCCTTTTCTCACAAGCATCGGTCGAGTTTTAAATTTGCTAAACCTTTTCGTATGCGTCTATGCATCCATAGAAGATACTGGACGTTGTATTGTCTGTAGTTAGGATTTCGTATGAGTGATGTCATACTGCATCTGTGGCTCTGCAGTTTGCTTTTTTCCATGAGATGATGTGTCTTCAAGATCTTTCCATATCGGTCCACAAAGATCTGTTTTGTTGTATGAAGTGAGGGTAAGGATATTACCCAACTGACAGCGTGGAGAGGACGCGTATTTCCTAAGCAGACTTGGCAACTCTGTCATTTTTCTCTTTCACCCCAGACACCCCCCCCGCAAAGTGACTAAATTCTTCAAGGTTTTAGGCAACTAGGTGCATTTTCTCACTTCAGTCATCGTCTTTTCCCCTGCAGAATAAACTGAAGGATTTTCAGTAGTAGCAAAATAAGAAGGTCTTAGGTGACATATTGCCCTGGGTTAAATTCTAGCTGTTTGCAAGTTGAATTTGGGCCTTTCCCAAGAGATCTGAGGCTCCCAAATGATCAGTCTCTGGATGCAACCTTAATGTCTGCTAGTTGGGGGAAAGACCATGCAGCAACATAGTGGGATTAATTTCCTGTAGTTTTTTTTTTACATTTTTTCAAGTTTTATTTATTTACTTGCCAGAGAGAGAGAGAGAGAGAGAGAGCGAGCACAAGCAGGGAAGGGCAGGCAGAGGGAGACACACCTGACATGGGTTCCATCCCAGGACCCTGGAATCATGACCTGAGCCAAGAGCAGATGCTTAATCGACTGAGCATTCAGGCACCCCTCCCTGTAGTTGTTTAAAAGAATAAACAGATTCTTCTCTTTGTGGAATGATCCTTGCTGACAGGATTCCTTGCTTGACATCACAGCCCTGTCCTCTGGGCCACAGCTGAGGGACCAGAGTGGGGAACAGGTCAGCTGCCCACGGAACAGTCTCATGGCAGAGTTCTGCTCAGTAAGGACTCCTTGATCTTAGATGACTCAACTGTGCAGACCACGAGCTGCATCCAGCCCACCCATGTGTCGGTTCAGTTCACTCATCTTTTTAATTTGATGAGTTGCCATTGTTAAGATATCGGGATATTTTATGTTTACAAACATCACTTATTGTTCACTCAGTCCTTGAAAAGAACATTCATAGACCATCAGGGTGTGTCAAACAATGTTCTACGTGCTAGGGGCTCAGGGATGAATTAGAAACCCACAGCCCCTACCATCATGGAGTCTACATTCTAGAAGGGAAGGAAGGCAATAAGCAAGAATATATATAATATAATGAGCTCCAGCTTCTTTAGCGAATTTGGAATATCACCCTCCAGGCCAACAGCTCCATGAGAAGATAGAAAAGTAGGTAAGAGTCAGACTTCAGTGACTGGAGCTGATCAAAGGGTTCATATCAGAGGCTCAAACCTTCCTGCTCTTGAAAAGGTGTAGAAATAGTCTTCTTAGGAGAAGGGGTTATGCCTCCGGTATCGTGGCTGTTCCCTGCAATGGCCAGCACATAGTGGGTGCTTTTTGAACGTCTGTCTCTTGAGTGATCAGAGTAGCTGCAGCTTCCCTCGTGACCAGATCTTTGGGAAAAACAAACATATTCATCCATCCATCCATCCATCCATCCGTCCCAGTGTGGGTGGATCTTATGCCAGGGACTCATTCTTGAAGACCTTGGATAACTCAGAACTCACATAACTCAAGAATAGTCCTAACAAAATGGTTGACATGTCTCTTCACTAGATAAAGTGATAATATAATAACAAGTATAGTTTACGATGTACACAATTCAAAAGTATGGATTTTATGGACTCTGAAAAACAATCTGAGGGTTTTGAAGGGGCGGGGGGTGGGAGGTTGGGGGAACCAGGTGGTGGGTATTAGAGAGGGCACAGATTGCATGGAGCACTGGGTGTGGTGCAAAAACAATGAATACTTTTATGCTGAAAAGAAATTTTAAAAAAAGAACAAAAAAAAGTATGGATTTTTTTTTAAGGAATTTTAAGTTGTAAGACTTCTTCTCACTTCAAAAAATACTCCCAATGCTCATGATTTCAAATGTTTATGATTTAGGTTAGCATAAAATATAGCCATGCTTGGGGCACGTGGGTGGCTCAGTGGCTTAAAGCCTCTGCCTTTGGCTCAAGTCATGATCTCAGGGTCCTGGGATTGAGCCCTGCATCGGGCTCTCTGCTCAGTGGGGAGTCTGCTTCCTCCTCTCTCTCTGCCTGCCTCCCTGCCTACTTATGATTTCTGTCAAGTAGAATCTTTAAAAAAATATATAGCCATGCTGTATTTATATAAATCTACAATAATATCTTTCTTGTGACCCCACCTCATAACATAAAAATAGGGTCTTGACAATAATTCACATATACTTATGTAACACTCCCATTTCCCCCCAGCCCAAGGTAACCATCAGCCTGAATCCTGGGCACTTTCCCCCTGATTTTCTTTTTGTACATTTCCCCCCTCAGAGATGCTCTGGAAACTCTGCGTTAATAATTCCATTCAGGTTATAGTCAGGCTCTGCTGTCCTAAGAGCCAAAGTTGCCTCTTAAAAATGACTCTGCAGTTTTCTCCCTCATCTGCTTTCATCCCGCACTCCTCAAAGCCCAGAGAGCTTTGTTTCCAGGCAACAGCAGGGCTTTCCCCAGGCAGGTGGGTTCTTTGAAAAAGGGAGAGAGGGTGAGGGTGGCAAGGGGGGAAAGGGGGGAGAGGGAGACAGAGACAGAGAGAGGGAGAGAAAGAGGGAAGGAGGGGGGAGGGAGAGAGGCGCAGAGAGAGAGAGAGGCAGAGAGAGAGAGGGAGGGAGGGAGAGAGGCAGAAAGAGGGACATACAGAAAGAGGCAGAGGCAGAGAAAGGGAGGGAGAGAGAAAGAAGGAAGGGAAGAGAGAGGCAGAGAGGGAGACACACATAGAGACGGAGGCAGAGAGAGAGAGGGAGACAGAGATAGAGGCAGACAGAGAGACACAGAGAGACAGAGTGAGGGAGAAAGAGAGAGGGAGGGAGAGGGAGAGAGACAGAGGGAGGGAGAGAGAGGCAGAGGGGAGCTAGAGCCCTCTCCAGCTAATCCACCCAGAGGTTCAGCACCACGGACAGCGCAGACCTGGCCGGTTCAGCACCGCGGACAGTGTCAGGAGCCCACTGGCTCTGCTGCATACACGTGCTCTTCTCTCCTCCTGTTCCCTCCTCTTCTTCCTTATTCTTTCTTATTTTTTAATTTTTTAAAAGATCTTATTTATTTATTTGACAGAGGGAGAGAGATCACAAGTAGGCAGAGAGAGAGGAAGGGAAGCAGGCTCCCTGCCTAGCAGAGAGCCTGTTGTGGGACTCGATCCCAGGACCCTGGGATCATGACCTGAGCTGAAGGCAGAGGCTTAACCCACGGAGCCACCCAGGAGCCCCTACATGTGCTCTTCTGAGCATTCCTGGGCCCACTCCACAACCCTCACCCCCAGAGTTTCTGAATGCTGATTTCTGGGTAACCCAGGTTCTCCTGGTCTTAGTCTCAAAAACACAGGCATCAGATACTTAACATGCCCCAAAGAGAGTGTTCTGGGTTTTCTCACAAAGAAAGTGGGTCCTCCTCACTGCATTCACTACAGGGCACTTGGTTGTTCAGGCTCAGAGTCCAAAAGTCGTCCTTCATTCTTTCTTTTCTCCTACCTCCCAAATACCGCCCATCAGGGAGTCCTCCCAGCTCCATCCCCAGAGTGTATCCTGAATCTGTCCACTGCTTTCCACTCCTACAGCCACATCACTTCAGTCCACCATCATGTTATGGTTAGTTTAGTCCAACAGCCTCTGAACTGATCTTTCCATTTTACCTCTTGCCCCTTCTGGAGTTTTTCCCACACAACAGTTCAGTCATGCTTGAAAATGTAAATTGATTATATCACACGCTTCCTCAATGTCCTTCCCTAGTTTCCCAGTGCACCTACAGTAACATTCAAAGATGTTGCTGTGGCTTTCGAGACCATGGATGGCTCTCCGATCCTGTCTCCCATTGCTCTCTCCCTTGCCCAACCACTCTGGTCACAGTGGCCTTCTTATTGTTCCTCAGGACCTTTGCACCTGCTGTTCTCTCTGCCAAGAATTCGTGCATCACTGGCTCCTTTTCACCATTCGGGTCTTATCTCAAAATGCCACCTTTTCAAAAAGATCTCTCCTGACCACTCCCATCTAGAGTGGCTTTGCAGTTACTATCCTGTTGATCTATTTCATGTAACTCAGAATTAACAAAACTATATTTTGCTC